GGGGTTGGGCCTTGGCGGCTTCTTGCGTTATCAATCTGCAAGGCTCAGCGCGGTCGCAGAGCCTAAGCACTAAAGGACTGGGAAGCACAAGGACACCTAACTCCTTGCAGTGGCTCTTTTCAGAGAGAGACTGGAAAATTGAGGGCCCTGAATAGTGGGGAATTCAGGCAAAAAGCGCTGTAAATGAGGCAAGGAACACCGTGCCCCCAAGGGAGCCAGAGGATCGTGGTGGTACGGCCCTGCAGGTGCCCTGTGCTCTCCTCCGTCCTCCCTGCTTCCTCACTCTGGCTCCCCGGGACGAGGTTTTGTTTCCTCAGACCAACCCCAGGTGTTTTGGGGGAGGATGTCTTGGCATCCTCTGTAGCCACTGGTCAGCTGCCATGCATTAAACTGTTTTCTATCCCCAGACTACTCTTCCTCCTGCATGAGCATCTAAGCGCGTCTTCTCTTCGTTGCCGCTAGTTACTGCCATCCAGCTGGGCAGGGTGGGAAGCAGCAGCAGCTAGTTTCTTTGGGAGGTTTTCACTCACCTCTGCAGGTTGTCATGGTGCTGCTGTGCTGGAACTTGGGAAAGGATTTTTTGGTGTATTGTAAGAAAATGGCTTGGTAGGAATTTTCAGAGGGGAGGACGGGAAAAGGGCTCAAATAAATGTGTTTTTATTAAATGGACTAGGGTGACTAATACGAAGGTGTATAACAAATACCTACTTGTTAGTCATGTAGAAGGAGTTCAGATTAATTTCATGGAGAAGAAAGAAAAGGAAGGGTAAAACTATTAAAGGGCAAATTAAGAAGAACATGGTGTTGCCTACAGGTTACCTGATGGTGGTAGTGGAAATACATAAAAAGGTGGTTTAAAAACTTTTGTTCCCTGTTCTGGTGTAGGAGCCTCTGTACGTTCCTGTGTACATCTCCACCCATACAAAAGTTCTCATATTTAGTCAAGCTATACATGTATGCATGTATGGAAGCAGACGTTATTTGCTTACATCTCTGTAGTGTGACAATTGCAAATTCTCCCTAGTGTGTATTTAGAGCAGTCAGACCTCTTTACTAAGGTGCATAAGACACTAGATAAGCGGGTGGGGAGAGCACGCTGTCATCACTATAGTGCACCTTTTAAATTCTGTACAACTTTTGTCTTCGTGTTGAGAAATGCTTGTACTATGAAAAGTTCTGGAAATGAGCAAATTTTGTGTGTGAAAGAAAGAAGTTGCCCCAGGTATGGACTAGTAATATGGCTTCTGAGTTCACTCAGACAGTGCATGTTTTCGTACAGCAAGGGGCGTGGTAAACATGAAGGAAAAAACCCAGAAAAAATGGTAACTTGTGTTGTTCATTTAAATGTAAACTAAGAATGTGTTGCTGTGATCGAGATGGCGAATACAGCTTTAAGCAGAGGAACATGAGGCAGGAATGGAGAGGTCATATTACATCTGTATAAAGTATTGATGAGACAACGAGAATATTCATTTCTGGGCTTTGAAGTTTGATAGAGTCACAAAGGAATTAAAACATGCTGTTCTCAGATGAACATCACTGAAGCTAGAAAAACAGACTGTGTCATTTGCAGCTTTTCCAAAAGGGTTGCATGATATGTAGAAACACTGTTGTGTGTGTGTTACATACAGATTAATTACTCCTTTTTATCTCAACATATTTGTATTTGCTAATTTAGGATTAAATGTTTTGTGTGACAAACCAGTAAATCCAAAAGTACAATTTTTGTTTAAGAAAAAAAAAAAAGGAGAAAAAAAGAAATGTGGAAGAATCCTGCACCGTAAGTGTATATGTATATGTATGTATACACAGTAAGTGTATATGTATATACATGCAAAAAAGTGTATAAGAGCAGGATTTGAGGTTGTTTTGATACTGATGTAAAATTTGCTTTCAGTACATGTCAGAAGAAAAAAATGTTTTGAGAAGATCTATGGGAATCACGTTGTCAAAATCCTATGTACATGTATTGTAGAAATACGGACAAGACAAGATTTAAAATTATAAGTCTACTTTTCAATAATAATTTATTCTTAATTTTTAGTTGGATATCTAATGAATTCAGGTTCCTTATGCTTGCTTAATAGTAATATGTATAACAAAGGTGAAATTAATTAATTTGCTTTTTTTCCCCTCTCAGAAGCAGTCCCCCTCTGCGGATGCATCAAAATCACAAATTATGAAGCCATCTGAAACAAAGGTATGAATTCCAGAGAAACTCATGCTTGCAGTTAAGCACAAATACATGAAACAATGGAATTTCTTTTTTAATACTTTGATACTGAGGAGCTTCACTTTGTGTATTTCTTCTCTGCAGCTTAGTTTCCTTTTCAAAAAATATCTAAAAAATGCTGTACAAAGTACTCCAAGGACTTACAACAGCAATATTAATTTTAATTTTAGCTCAGTCATGCTTTGTGACTGTTTATAGCTCCCCCTAGTGTAGTTACAGGGTTATTTACCTAATGATAATTTTTCACATATTCAGAGCATTCAGGACAAGTTTGAGCTTTTATAACGTACAACTGCATCTTCTCACATCTCTGTTTGTCTGACAGTTTCCTTGCCTTTGTCCTTTACGCTTGTTCTGTCTTGTCTTATGACTAGAACTTCTTCAGGGGCGATGCTGTGTCATCAGTCACGTACGTTACTTGTTAGAAGAGAGTCGTAATCCTCACGCCTCTCTTGCCTCACAGAATTTACATGTATTATTTAAACAAATGATTAATGATTCCCTAGTTCCTTCATTTGATGTAATCGTAATAGTGAAACCAGCAAAAATACTGAACACCAGCAGGGACTTGCGCGGTGGTAAAACTCAGGACTGCCTGCAGCTGTGTAAATGCGAATAAGGGCACACTTACAGTAGTAAGGTTAGAAGAGGTCTCTGGAGGCCGCCTCTCCAGCTCTGCCCCTAAGCCAGGCTGCTGCAGGCCTTGCCAGATGAAGTCTGAATACCTGCATGTGCAGATTGCATGTCTCTGGGTAGAGAGTTCTGGTGTTGGTCACCTTCACTATGATGATTTTTTTCCTGCTACCGAACGGGAAGCTCCTTTGCTGCAACTTGTATCTGTTCCCTCTTGTCATTTTAGCGTGCATCTCTGAAGACAGTCCAGGTCCCATCTTCTTTGTATTTGAAGTTAGCCCTTACAGTCTCCTCAGGCTTTTAAAACCCTTTTCCTCCATGTGCGCATGTAAGACTTAGACTGGTAGCAGTGAGCTGGACAACAGTTAAACCTTTTCCATTTGTGCATGATCGTCATTACTCCTAAGTGAAGGTATCTGCAAGTCTCCAGTTTCATCTTCTTGTTATGTTTGTGAGCAAACTCGTTTGTATCATGTTCATTACTGATGCTGCTCTCCATACGGTTTGACCCAGACAGCTATTGAAAAATAGTT